GCAGATGCCTGCCCATCAAGCTGTAACCATGGCACCCTCCCTCACTGCTTATCTCGTCCTGAACTGTAGCACTTACACCGGGGGGTCCTTAGAGTAACACAGGGTCTGAGGGTTCCCGGCATTGCCGGTCCAGGCTCCCAGAGGCCTCAGCACACGGACATTCATGGAGCAGATGGACAGGGATAGGAGTCTTGCCTAGAGGAAACCTACTATCTTAACACTTCTAGAACCTAGGCTATCAAAGCCATGCCTGAATATCCGCTCAGCTAACTAACCTTCTTGGGGTCCATGTTGAATTTCTTCCTGCCCATTGCCATCTTCCGGTTCCGCTGCAAGGTCTTACTGCAAAAGCAGGATGGGCAGCAGCCAAGGGTCAACACTTGAGCATCGGGGCCCTGGCCGCGCCGTGCCCCATGAGCTCCCCAGTCCTCACCTGCCCTCATTGGCCTCCAGACCCTCCACCTCACTCATAGCTTCACTCAGCTCCTCTCGCAGGCGCTGGATCTCCACCAGCAGCTCCTGCTTGCGACGCCGGATGTTCTCTAGCTCCATGCGCTCCTCCGGAGTCAAGTCTGGGGGCTCTAGGAGTCAGGGCAAGGAAATGAGTTTGGGGGGCCAGGGTTAAAGCTAGGGGCTGGCTTCCTCTAGAGGAGGAATGGCTACTAGAACTCTTCGGGAGGAGGGAGTAAGACCCTGCACCCTTAGTCTGGGGCAGAAGTGCCGGGGAATCTATTTCTTATAGGTCTGGGGATGAACTTCTGGGCCCATTACTTGGAAGGATGGAGCCCGGGCTTCATCGTGGAAGGGAGGATTTAAACCTCGGCTGTCTTACTTGGAAAGGAACCGGTCCCTGGGCTCCTGGACCATTCACCACAGTTGGGAACTCTTGGAATGGGATTTTGGATGCTTTACTAGGATGCCCTGGTTCCTTGATTCCATAGCGGTAGAACAGGAGGCTTGCATATTGAAAACACTACTTGGAAGGACACAGGGCCTTGGGTTCATGGTTCCATCATCTTAAGGGATCTGGGGCCCTGGATCCCGGGTGTATTTCTTGGAAGGTAACAGGTCCCTCCATCGTGGCTGAGGCCCTGGGATCCTAGACCCTGGGTGCACCAAGACTCTGGTTCCTGGCTCCACCATGGTGGGAACCCTGGCATAGACCTGGGGTACATTTCTTGTAAGGGGGCCGGATCCCTGATCCCATAATGGTGGGACAGCTGGGGTCCTGAATCCTGGGTGCCTTTCTTGGAAAGGAACCGATGCTCTGGCCCCCGGCCCCGTGGTCTGAATCTTGGGTGCACAGTGAAGTCAAGCTAAGGCATCAGGACCGTGGGTGGGGAGGTCAGAGAACCAAGGTTCGCAGCCAGAAAGGCAGGCCGCGGTCCGCGCGGGTGGACGCCCCGCCCCGCCCGCCGGCCCCGCCCCGCCCGCCGGCCCCGCCCCGCCCCGCCCGCCGCCGCCGGAAGAGGACTCGGCCCAAACAATGGCCCGGGACCCCCGGCTCTCGGCCCCGCCGGAAGCCCGTTCCGCGCGCAGAAAAGCGCCTCGCTCCCACCGCTCGGCTGCCCTCGGCTGGTCGGGAGCCGCCGCGCCCGGCCGCCGCGCCCGGCCGGCCTACCGTAGACACCGTCCTCCATGGCGGCTAGGAAAGCCCGCGGGGAGTCCGGGGCGGTTCCGCCGGCTGGGCCTGCGTCCGCGTCGGCCCGCGGGCTCGAGGGAGCCCGCTCAAACGCCCCGGGAGCCACCGCCGCCTCCTCAGCGCCCGTCCTCAGCGCCGAAAAGACTCTCCCTCCGCGGCCCAACCGCCCGGCCGTGGGGCCCGCCCCTCGCTCTGACACCGCCCAATCGGCTGCGGCCCTCCCGGCCTGCTCCGCCCCCGGCGCCACAGGGTCATTTTCAGGACCAATAGACACCCAAGCAGTGGGTGCAGGCACGTACGGCTGGCGGCTGACGGCCCGAGTGACCAATCCGAGTACGCCCACAGGCTTGGTCCCGCCCCCGAGACAAAGGACAAGCCCCGGCAGCTTTCTCCTCCAATAAGGAAACTCGGCAAGGCGCGACCAAGGGGCGGGGGTTCGTGGAGCAGGAGGGACTGCGCCTGCGCACGCGCCGGGCTAGGGCGGCTAAGCTTTCCGGAGATTCGTTGTTAGGGGGTGGCATCTGGTTGGCCTCGTTGCCAAGGGCGGAGTCTCTGCCTTGAGTTGCTCCCTGGAACCACACCTCCTGGCCCTCCACGCTAGCTTTTGACCACGGCGGTTGCCAGGCAACTCGGAGCCGCACAGTCCCGCCTTTTGCCTCCTTTCTCCCGGTACTTGGGTCTTCGGGCGGCTGCTCTCTCTGAACTCTTTCCGTACCGCCTCATGTGACTTTCCTCCGCACCCCAGTGTCCCCAGAGTCAAAGGACGGTGAAATGAAGGCTTTATCCCTTCCAAAAATGCACTGGGTACCACGAGTACACTGGCTCTACCCTCCCGGCGCTGCCTGTCTGTCTTTCAGGCTCTTCCTCTCTCCCGAACTCTCCCTCTTAGCTAAAATCCCGCCTTCCCCAGGCATTTGCCCCAGACACCCCTCTTCCCTCAGAATCCTCCCTGCACCGACTCTCTTGGCAGCTCTCCAGGTCCCTCCTTCCCCCCTCCCCCTCAGAATCCTGCTTGCACTGCACGGAAAGCAGTACGGGACGGTCCTGTCTGCGATGGGGACCCTGGCATACTTTAAGTCACAGGCCCACGATGGGGCGGAAGTGACTTCCAGGTCTTGTCCTCATTTGTGTCCCTGGGCTGCACAGGTGGGGAGGGATTCAGGGCCAGGACTTGGTTAAACCTTCGGATTAGTCATGGAGCCTCCTAATCCCCTCTCTGACCTTTATGAGTGCCTGACCCATGACCTCCCTTGTGGAGAGAGACCTGGCTGAACCAATCCTACCCACCCTCCACTTCCCAATAGAACCGCACACCCTGCCTCTTTGCCCCAGCTTATCATTTTTTTTTTTTCCTCCACTCTGGTCTCCAACATTCCTAGCCCCCGCCCCAGACCCGGAGGTGGGAGAGCTGCCTGCTAATTAATCCTGTCCGGTTATTACCTGGGGATTCTGAAGGATAAAGCAAGATGAGCACCAGAGAGGGCATGGGTGGGTGGATCCGGCACTCAGGCAAGCCAGCGCCGATGCTGGCTCTCAGTGGGGAACATGGGGAGGCCACTTCCTCCTTCTGGCAGCTCCCCTCAGGCTGGCCACCAGCCTGCTGGGCACTTAGGTGGCTGTACTATGGGTGAAGACCAAGAACTAGGAAGAGCTCTCCAGAGACACAGGCACCCTGCTGGACCTCCCTGCTGAGCCTTTACTACAGTGACAGGGTCCCTCCCAACCTGTGCAGCCCAGGGACACAAATGAGGACAAGACCTGGATTCCACCTTTCTCACAGTGCACACAGACCTGCAGATAATCGCTGCCCCTTCCATCGCAGCCCCTGACCTGGAGCAGGGCGTTGGTGATGCTGGCCCTTGGGAATAGCCCATGCTTTCTCTTGCTGGTCCTATAATCTACAGACAATATGGAACCAGCCTTCAAGTCAGTATCCGCTCCCAACTACCCCTGGAAGGTTGTGTTTCAGTATGAGGGTGGGGACAGGAAATGTTAGGATTTGTACTGTATCCCAGCCTCCATATGGTGAAGGACCATCCTGCTTGGGAGAAACTAAGCAACACAAGCAAAGGTTATCCTAACGTCCTGGAGTTACTTAGAGCTGCTGGGATTTAAAGTAAGTCTCCTAAGATCACCCCAAGGGGCTCTAATTTGCTTGACTCTGTTCACATCTTACTACAGGAACCAACAGAAAAGATAGAGATCTGTATTTATATCATATATAGTACACATATGTATAATATCTTTGAGAAATAGACACACATCACTAGGTGTAGTATTCCAGAATATTTTAGGCCCACCAGCCTCAGCCTCTCCCTTCCCTTACTCCCTAGTTAGCCCTGTGACCTTCTAGGCTCTTGCTTGCAAGGCCCACCCAGAAGAGTGCCTTCTAGAACTACCAGGCTGTCCACCTGAAGGTGACCAGGACATCTAGGCTTTGGGAAAGGACAGCTCGCCCCCCCCCCCACCAGTGCTTTGATTCCTTTTGGCATTACAGAACCGCAGGAAGTCAGCCAAGGTCACGGAGACCCTCAACACTGCTGGGTAGAGTGGAGCCAGCAAAACAGACATCAAGACTGCTATCCAGATTCTGACCAACCTGGAAGCACGGAATCCTGATTCCTTTGGATGTTCTAAGAATGGCACTTCAAACAAAAACAAAATTTACCCTGTGGATCATGGGGAAGCCAGACTCACCGCCCCCCCCCCCAGGACCCTAAACAGCCAGTATTCATTTCCCAGCGTCAGGGTCCACATCTGTCATCTTAGTCTCTTCCAAACTCACACCTACCAATGTTCTGTATATTCTAGAAATAGCTTTGTAGTTTCTGGAGCAGTTCCACTCTCTAGCCAACCTGTTCTAGAATCCCCAGCGTCAAGCTAGACGCTCAACTCTTGGGCTTTCTAGAGCTAACAGGCCTTTTCTTCACACAGTGCATTCTCCATTCTGTCTTCAGTCAAGTGTGATGATCCATTATCCTTGGAGTGTTCTGCCCTTCCTCCTGAGGGGAGCAAGGCTGTCATCACTTGAGTCTGCTTCTTCACTGTGTAAATTGACATTTTCCACCCTGTAGTTGTGTATCTAACCAGGATCCAGCCTCCATGCCTTGCCTCTTGGATGGTCCAGAAGTCTGTATCCCTGAGCTCTAGTAACACTCAGGAATCCAGCTCACAGGGGTCTTGAGAGTGAGGATGGAGCAGAGAGATGAAGGTCCGGTATTATGTGTGGTAGACAGCCTCATGGTTAATGGTTACCCCAGCAGGCCACTGGTCCTTAGAAACCCTGCTTACTCCCAACAGAGGCTGGAGGTCTCCATCCCTGTCACCTTTGGAAAGGGGAGCCCAATGGGGACCTCTGCTGCGTCATGGAGGCAGGGTCAGTGCCAGAGTTGGTGTAACAGCTTGGGGGCTGGCAGCCCTATCTGGGGTTTCTGCCGAAGTCCCCTCCTTACCATCCTCATCTTCCTCTTCTTCCTGGCAGCAGCTCAGAGCAAGTTCATTCTCATAACAAAATGCAGCGAGGGAGCCGGGAAAACTCGACTTAGGGCTGTGGGAAGCCCGTTCTGCCCGTTCATCCAGCTCCTTGGCACTGCAGACTGGTGTCCCTGGGACCTCATATGTTCGATGGAAGTGGCGATAATCAACCTCATACTGGGAGCCCCGCTGGAAGAGGACTGGCTCGAAGCGATGGCCCCAGAGCAGCTCACCCGGGAGGTAAGATGAGCGGCACTGTGTAGTCATAGCTGTGGCCTCAACCATGCCTTCAAGAATAACCACCAGCTCAAAGTCAGCCCGGGCCAGCTCTGCCCTCCCCAGCTCATACAGCGGACTGGCTGAGTCAATCTCGTGCACAATGGTAATGGGGGATACGAGGAAGATGCGATCCGTGCCTCCGTCGAAGCCAACATCCACATCCTGGTGGTCCAGTGGGATGTACTCACCCTCTGGGGTCACACGGGGCTGTGCAGAAGCAAGAGGGGCGGGCCAGGGAGGTGAGCAAGTATTACAGCGACAGAGGAATAAAGATAGAAAGCAAGAGGGGCGGGCCAGGGAGGTGAGGCACTGGAGAACAAGGATCCAGAGACAGAGACTGGGAGGGAGGGACAGAGACTGGGACTCCAAGGAAAAGGGCACAGGCTCCAGATGAGGGGACAGAGTCAGACCTAGAGAGACACAGATGGGGGGCAGGAGCAAGGGGAGACAGTGAGAGAGAGGCCTGGGGAGAGAGAGGGATAGAGACGGAGAGACAGGGACCCAGAGAGGGGACAGGGGGACAGAGCTGGCTCCAACAGGAACTATTCCACTCTCCGCCCCACTGAGTACGGGTACGAGCCCACTGAGGTGGGTGTGTAAACTAGATACGGGGAGTTTTGTCTCCTACTTATTGTTCTACGACTGTCTTCCAGGCTGTGTTACTTCCCCACATACCTCTGGCAGAAGTCTCCCTTGGGTCACTTCTTGGTGTTTCAAAGAGCTAGGAGGAGCTCAAGCATGATGGGGATTTGTTCTCTGTGGCCCAGAGGCTTCTGGGAGCTGTACGTCCCACAGCCACCCACCCCCTCTTCTGGCCTCGAGTGCAGCCTCCACTGACTGGGCCAATGCTTAACATTTTGTCGGGAGCGCAGATGCGTGAGCAATGTGGTCCCCAAGTCCAGGAGTATTCAGGCTCCTAGGGCAGGGCTGGGAGGAGGCTTCTACCCCAGGGGCTGGTGAGAATGTCCTCAGTGGACTGGTCCCCCAGGACTAATTGGGTAAGAGGCTGGTAGGAGAGCCTGAGACTTAAGCCCTAAGCTGTTCCGTTTTCCTTTCTCCTGGTACTGTGCCCTAGACAGTGGCAAGGAAGGCCTGAGTCCCCCATACCTAGTAAACTCATGTCAGGCTGCCGCACAGGGACTTCCCTGCTTTCCGGCTGGTGGAAGCTACCAGAAGAAACGATTGAGGGCAGGTGTGGTTGCTCAAGTCTAGAGCCCTCAGTAAACTCTTATCAGGCAGCCTCCAGGCCAGCTCTCAGGTGTTCTATCTACTCCCTCAAGCCTGGGTTTCCAGGCACTTGCTTCCTGGTCTACCTCCCCCGCAGGCCAACAGTCCTCTATTCAAGGTGCTGAGGACGGCACGCCTCGCGTCTTCCCACAACCTGCAACTGATCCTCCCCTAAATACACGCGCACGCGCACCCCTCACCTGCAGCAGCTGGGCCCGGACGTGAGCCTCCACCAGATGGCTGCGGCGCAGGTTGCCCACCCGCCACATGAGGCAGAGACGGCGGTCTCGCAGAGCCACCACTGCGTTTTCGCTGAAGACCAGTGTCTCGTTGCGTTTCTTGGGCTTGGCCATCTTGGCCATGACTGCCCCCACGACGAAGGCGTCGAGCACACAGCCTGCGATGCACTGCAGCACCACGGCGGCCACAGCGGCTGGACACTCCTCGGTGACGCTGCGCACTCCGTAGCCTATGGACGTCTGTGTCTCCAGCGCGAAGAGGAAGGCGGCCAGGAAGCTGGCCACCTGTGAGAAACAGGGGGCGGGGGGCGGCGGGGCGGCCAGGTCGCCGTGCAGCGAGGCGATGAGCCAGAAGGTCAGGCCGAAGAGCAGCCAGGAGGCGAGGAAGGAGCAGGAGAAGAGCAGGCACATCCAGCGCCAGCGCACGTCCACACATGTAGTGAACAGGTCACTCAGGTAGCGCGCGCCCTGGCCACCCAGATTCACGAAGCGCACATTGCAGTGCCCATCTTTTTTGACGAAGCGCCCGCGGCGCCGGCTCCCAACCACCGGCCCGGGCGCCCACCCATTGCGGCACAGCCCGGCCCCCGCCTCCTCCTCATCGCCAGCTCGGTTGTCGCCTGACTCCAGCGCGCCGCTCAGGCGGCGCAGGGCCCTGGCCAGGCCCATTGAGCGGGGAGACCCCCCTCTACTTGGCCTAGCGGGGGGCGGGCGCCCCAAACCTGTAGGAACAAAAGATGGGCATGAACATTAGGGGTACCGGGAACCCAGGCCCACCGGCCATGACACTGCTGTGCACCCTCGTCTAACAAAGGGTGGGCCAATATCCTGCTATATGAAACTTGTGTATAGCTGCAAGTGTATTGGAGAGTTTCTAGGCAGTGTAACGCTGTTAGGAAAAACGCCAAATTGGTGGCTGACTTCTGTGAGCATCGTATATGAACTTACGCATTCGTGTTTTCTGTTTTTGAGAGGGCACAGGCGTGGAACACGGACGGACTCCTGAATACTCAGCAGTGCTCCACCATTGGGCCATGCATGTTCCTAGCCCCTTACTGGCAGAGGTAGTCAAGTGCTCTACCTCTGAGCCATGCCCCGAGCACCAAGAACAGTTATAAAATAAACCATATTATTTTATATATGACATGCTTAAGGCCATAGCTACTCAAGCTTTGAATGCTAGCACTTTAGCACCTGAGTCCTTGTTGGTGATTACCAAAACTAAGCATCAGGAGAAAAATTAGCCCCAGATGTGACATGGTGTGGGGTACATACAGCAATTCCAGTACTCAAGAGGCTGCTGTAGAAGCATGGAGAATTTCAGCCCTGCCTGAGCTCTGGAAGGCCCTGACTCAGATAGGTAACAAGGATTCTAGCTGGCAGAAAAATGAAATGAGGGACAAATGTCAACCAATATGAACCACCTCTCCTTACAGCTGGGCTGTGGTGGTGCATGTCTCTAACCCCAGCACTCAGGAGGCAGAGGCAGGTGGATCTCTGTGAGATGAAGGCCAGCCTGGTCTACAGAGGAAGTTTCAGGACAGCTAGAGCTGTTAACACTGAGAAACCCTGTCTGGAAAAACCAACTGCCCTCACCAAAAATAGAGATCTTTGCATCTCAGTCCTTGGAGTAGGTGGGAACACGGGCTGGGTCAGGCATGGTCGTACCTCAAAAACATTTTAAGTGGGAACAGCCAATTCGTCATTATTCAGTTCCCTGTATTTCCATCATCTGTACCCACTGAACTCAGCCAAATCAGACTGAAAGCTGTGATCTCTATACTGAACATGGCAGACCTGTTACACTTCAGTATAACAAAGCTTTGCGGTGTTCTGTATTAGAATCTGGAGATGTTTCTTTTTGAGACAAAGTTTCCACATGGGTACAAGGATCACAGGCCTGATCCACTCCACTCAGCTATGCAGGTAACACACGGGCAGTATGCGGGGGTTAGTCCATCTGAGAAAAGGGGTAGGTTGGGAAAGGATATAGGGTTTCTTTCTAGAGTTATAAAAAATGTTCTAACACTATTAGTGATAGTTGCTTAACTGGGAATCCCAGCACTCCTTTAACAAGACATCATATACACGGATGGGTGCATGATTCTCAAATGAGGCTCCTAATGAGCAAGTTCAGCCCTGACTGTCTGATCTGAGGCCACTGCTACTGGGCCTCAGTCACCTCAGTAAGGAAGACCCAAACCCTGCCGCTCATCATATAGGAAGGTGGCTCTCTGTGAGTTCCAGGCCAGCCTACATAGCAAGACCGTCAAGAAAAAACAAAACAAAAACTCAAGACCTCATCTGGACTAGACTGTAACCTAGGATTCCGTTTTTAGAGTCTTGATCTGCTCATTTGAGGGATGGAGGTCAATATCCCTGACCAGGGTATCCAGGGTATCTGGAGTCCCCGAGCAGCTGTAAGCTGACTGCCGACCTGGACACTTATGGGTTCTGACTGCATACAGTGGGTGGTTCATCAACCCGCCCCAGCCCCAGCTCAGAGTGCACAGGTCTGGGCCTCCAACCTTGCCTCCAGCTACTACTGAGCTGATCTGGTCCAAGCGTTACAGTTCAGGCTTTGGCTTTGCACACTCTGGAAGCACACTAGACTGGACTCTATGGGACCTTGTTGGCTTTGGTGGAAAGACCTGCGTGCTCCAAGTAAGAAGGCTGTGAAGTTAGGCACTATGTCCAAGAGTGTCATGCACCCCTTCTTGGTCTCCCTCTCCCACCTGACAGGTTCAAGCCTGAGGCTCAGGGCTACGTGGATGGAGCTGGATTGAGTCAGCACAGCAGCCCCGAAGGGGGAAGGTCATTCTCGGAACAGGAAGCAGGCCAGGCTCCCAAGAGTAGGTTTACAGTTGGGGTGTGCAAAGCAGTGAGTGTCATGAGCCGCCTCTGTGGCAGGGTTCCTACTTTCAATAGTTTCTAAGAGCTGACCAGGGGGAGAGGGAGGTGGAATCAGCCAACCTCAAGTCCCTTAGCTGGGGAGAAAGGTGGCAAGCTCAGATACGATGAGGCCTTGGGTGCTGAGCCCCAGTGATGACCACAGCTGCCTGAGTGCGGGCAGCTTGACAGGCCAATATGGAGGCCCTGCAGCTGTCATGGTACCTACCACCCCCCAGGGTTCACCTGATGGATTGTTCAGGGAGCCAGGGGCCAAGGGTTTCACTCCATGGCAAATCTGGGGCTCCTATGCTAGGATGGGAAGCTTGGCTTGGGTCCCAAACCTGTGTGACCCCAACTCTGCCACTGCTCTGCCCTGAAATAGACTTGTACAGGACAAGGAGTTGCCTGCATCCCACGCCCCACCCCCTTCCACCTGACCCACAAGAGCAGCTTAATGTTTCCATATAAAGGAGAGACAGGGCTTAGGGTTCTTCAACTTCACGTCAAAGTCACTATATAATCTGAAGCCAGAAACCCCGCCCCTCCCATTCACACAAGGTGGCGGCCCTGCCCCTGCCCCTGCCAAGAAATGAGGACAGAGGGTGGCGATGGAGCCCCAAAGGCCACTGACCAAGCAGAGACAGGAACTCCTGGTCTCCAAGGCAGCCAGACAACCCAGCCATGCTGGGGTCACCAGGCCCAAAGAAGATGCAAAGTCACAATGGCATGGACTGGGGGGAAGAGAGACCCAGAAAGAGAGAGAGTGACAAGAGGCTGACTCAGAGAAACAGAGACATGGAGAGAGGGACAGAGACCCAGAGAAACAGAGAGGTCACCGTAGTGAGCTGGGGGACAGAGATGTAAAGGGGGGCGGGGGCAGATGCGGACTCAGAGAAGAGACCTAGGGAGGGGAAAGAGGCCCGGAGAGGGAGGGAGAGAAAAAGGACAAAAGACTAACTCAGAGAAAGACATGGGGGGGGGGGACAGAGAACCAGAGAGGGAACCAGGAGTCACAGTGGTGTGAGCTGGAGGGACGGAGACCCCACACAAACACACACACACACAGAGAGACAGACAGACAGACAGACACAGACACACAGAGAGAGACACACACAGAGGCAGACAGACACACACACACAGAGGCAGACAGACACACACACACAGAGAGAGAGACACACACACAGAGGCAGACAGACACACAGGCAGACAGACACAGAGAGAGAGAGACAGACACACAGAGAGACACACACAGAGGCAGACAGACACACAGAGAGGCAGACAGACACACAGGCAGACAGACACACAGAGGCAGACAGAGGCTGAGTAAGAATTATAAGAGAAATGAACCGCATGCCCTATGGAGACAGGAAGAGTAAGGGGCTGCCTCCCAAAGGGAGAATGGGGTAGTGAGAAACTCTCTGTCAGCATCCACCAGAACTGGAGCCAAGAACTGGGAGCACTGGGGGGGGGGGGGGCACTGGCTGGAACATCAGGGAAGGTGTTGGAGGCAGAGGATGAGGTGGGTTGGTTCATGTCTGCACTTACCTGGGGGGGCCGCCCACCCCCATGCCCTGCACTGGGGGTCCCTCTGCCCAGGCTGGAGAGGGGCCTCTGTGGGTGCTCATGTGTTCAGGTCTGTCCTCGGCCCCTGGGGCCTGAGCCGGGGCACTGAACCTCTGAGCTACAGCGGATCAGGGCCTGACCAGAGGGGGGAAGGGGCGGAGCCGGCTCAGCACTGCAGAGGGGGAGCCAGGGAGGCTGGCCAGGCAGGGCACTGGGCTGCGGCCCAGGCAGACTGGAGAGGACAGTGCAGAAAATGGCTGGGAGGCAGGGAGGGACATTGGGGGTCAGGGATACGGAGCCATGGGAAGGGCACCACAGCTTAGCGGACGTAGAAGGGAATACTGAGAAAATTAAATAGAGGGGTAAAAGTGTGGGCTCCCATTGCCCTAGGGCGATTGATGCCTTAATAAACTTGGTGGTCCAGAAAGAGACACCCAGTCACTGACTCAGAGCCAGCTCCAAATGGAGTAAGCTTTAGAAAAGGCTGAGCCAGACAGAAAGGAAGAGGCCACCCACACAGGTGACAGAGTCCCATGCAGGAAGGAGATAGCTCTATTCCAAATTCCTCCTTACTTCCTTTAGCTGTGTCCCCGGGAAGCTCAAAGGACTGGCATCTCACGTGTTTGGGGCCTTGTCCTTTACTGCAGGAGAAGCCCCAGACCCTTCCCCAGTACAAAAGTGGCGAACACAGTGAGGGCAAGCCACAGTTCCCAACCTGGACCCCAGCCAGACCCAGCTGGCCAGAAAGCAAAGAACTAAGTTTCACCGCCCAGACCCAGACCCAGGGTTGTCTCAGCATGACACACCGAAAACGTCCCTGGAGTCCATCAACAGCCAGAACCGTGTCCCGGGTCAGAGATCTAGGGTCAAGGCCGGAGTGAACGCTGACAGAAGCCTCACACTGACGCCATAACTAGACAGGCCACCGTCTTTGGTGTAGGTGTGTGGGCCAAGGGTCAATTCCCATCCAGACCCCAGCTCAGTAGAATCCGTTTCTTCTGTTGGTGCCAGATGAACAAGCCTGTCTTTCTGGGGTGCAGTCTGCAGACTTGATGACCCCCACCGAGTTAACAGAGCCAGTTCCCACGAAGGGAAGAGCCAAGGCCTGTGCCACCTTAGACGCTGATGGTGCGGAAGACGGTGAAGCCGGACAGGGCGGTGCTGATGAGAACCCCAGGGCATTGTGGGTGCCAGTGCAGCTCCTTCAGGTCAGTCTCCCCTTGGTGTACGAACAGCAGCTGCTGGGGAAGTGCTGCCAGCCCGGGGTCTGCTTCTGCCTCGCCCGCCTCTGGGTCCCGTTCCACTGCCAGGTCCCACTGTGTGATCTGGTTGTCAGCGCCCGAGGCTGCAAAGACCCCACTGTCCTGAGGATGCCACTCGACAGAGGTCACAGGGGCCATGTGCTGCTTGAAGGTGGCCACAGGAGAGCCAGACTATGAGAGAGCGCAGGCAGGAACCAGGTTTCAGTGTGAGGACTTGGTACTCAGGCAGAGTCCAGCCAGGGGCCCTCCCTCACACCCACACCAAGCCAGAGCCCAGGGACGAAGCCCAGGGAAAGGTCCACGGGCTGCTGGGAGCTGTGCTTACACCTGCAAATAAGCCTCCTAACGAGGTGACAGGCAGGAGCCTGCCCCCGAGTGTCCCCGAGCAAGCCTCAGTATCCCTTTCCTATAGAAAGAGCAGAGAGGTAGTCCTTCCAGCACATTCTTGGCTGTCCTTTAAGGCTGAGACCTTAACAGAACAGAAACGGCTCTGATGCTTAAGGTGCCCAATACTACAGCACTTGTGTTAGAAGTCCCTGGGGCCATTTGGCGTAGAGGGCTGCGCCTCCCTCTGGAAGCTTCCCCAGGGATGATTCTATAGGACTGATTAAACTGGGCAAAGAGGCTGAGGCATCACTACGCAGGGAAGGAAGGCACGGAGCCAGGAGAGGTCCTGGCTTCCGCTAGAGCCTGGGAGTGCCTCTTCCGCCTGCTCAGCTCTGCGGGCAACTCTTAGTTATGACGTCACCTCTGCTCCTATTCTGTGCCTCAGTTTCCTTTCCTGAAAGAAATGAATGGGGCTCAAATTCCCAGCTGATGCTGTACAGTCCACTAAAACAGACTACGATCCCCAGCAGCCCAACACCATGGGCTTCGTAGCCAGCTGTACTTCTGCCACACTGTAGAGCCAAAGTAGAGCCACAGTCTCTGTGCTGCCCAGCTGGGTACCCACCCCCTCACAGACACGGGGGGAAAGCAGGCAGGGGCAAGTGTGAAAGGAAGATGATGGGTGGTGCACAGTTATAGAAACGGAAGCTGGGGAGGGACAGGCTCATGCCCACCTCCTGCTGTTCCTGCCTCCTCACAGGATTTAATTCCCAGGAGCTTCCCCAGCCCTTACCGGCCCAGCTGGGAAGATACCTTGAACTGTCGTAAGTCCCAGACTTTGAGGGCTCCATCATCCCCACCGCTGAGCAGGAAGGGTTCCCTGCGGCTCCAGCTGATGACATTGACATCCCCATCGTGGGCAGTGGCTGTGGTGAGCATGCAGGCCTTGCCTGGGGCTGCTCGGATGTCCCAGATGCGGATGGAGGCATCCGCCGAGCAGGAGGCGAACACCTGAGTAGGGAGAGACAAGTCTGAGCGGGAAGACGGTCTCCACACTCACCCAAAGACTGCTTCACCGTCACTCACGGTCCCTTGTCTCAGTCGGGCCCCAGCTTGGGCCCCTCCTCTCCCAAGCCAAGGGTTCAGGTTCCTAGCCTGCCCCCGTCAGACCCACATGCCCACGCCTCCGGACTTTCCTCACCGTGTCTTCAGTTGGTGACCACTGCAGATCCTCCACAGAACGTGTGTGGCCCACAAATGGCCTCTGGTCCACATGCCAGGAGCCGCCGTCTGTGGGTGTCCAGAGGTGGACATTCTTCTGACAGTCGCCAGTCACCAAGCGGCCTGGTAAGGGTTAGGAAGCCACCTTACCCACCTGGCCACCTTCCTGCCTTTGTAGGAGCCCTACTGCCCACCCTCCCTGAACCATGACAAACTTACCAGGCACTCGAGGGGACCAGTCAAGAGCAAAGCCCTCACCCATGTGGCCAGCAAAGGAGAAGATGGGCTTCACACGGGCCTGCTCATCTCGGAGGAAAATGGCCAGGGCCTGGGGGTCATCTACCACCTGTAGGAGCCGCCTCAGTGCAAACACCTCCACCTGGCCCTTCTCTGACCATACTCCAGCCACAGGCTCCTCCCCTAGCCAGGATACCTGCCAGAGGGGCACACAAAACAGAGAGAAGACACCTAAAGTTGGACAAAGACCCCCCCCCCCCAGAACCATAACCTCTGCATGTCTATAGAAAACTACAATTCCCAAACAGCTTTGTGAGAAGCAAACTGCAACCTCCAGGACCAGGTAATGACCGGGCCACCGCCTGGCGCTGGGAGCGGAAGTTAGGAGTGGGGCTGCAGCTCTAAGCGCCGCCTGGTGCTCTGGAGCATCTGAAGCAGTGTGCTGAGGGTTCCGGGGCCTGGGCCACACGGCCCCTCACCTCCACACTCAGTGCTCTGTCACATAGGCAGCGCACTTCTCTGGCGTTCCCCACTGTGCTGGCTACTTCATGCCAGCTTGACATGCCCTAGAGCAATCTGAGAGAAGGGAGCTTCGACTGAGGGAATGCCTCAGTTCTCTCAATAAGATGGGGTCTCGGGCACTAGGGCATTTCTGTAAGTAGTGACTGATGTGGGTGGTGCCAACCCTGGAGAGATGGTCCTGGGCTCTGTAAGAAAGCAGGCTGGCCAAGCAGGCGTGGCGCACACCTTTAATCCCAGCACTCAGGAGGCAGAGGCAGAGGCAGGCTGATCTCTGTGAGTTCGAGGCCAGCCTGGTCTACAGAGCAAGTTCCAGGACAGACTCCAAAGCCACAGAGAAACCCTGTCTCGAGAAAAAAAAAAAAAAAAAAACAACCAACCAACCAACCAAACAAAAGAAAACATGTCTCAACGGTCTTAAACAAAACAAACAACAACAAAAGAAAGCAAGGAAGCAGACTGAGCAAGCCACTAAGCACCTTTCCATGGCTTCTGCATCAGCTCCTGCCTTCAGGTTCCCGCTCTGCTTGAATTCCTGTCCCGACTTCCTTCAGTAATGGACAGCAATATAGAAGTGTGAGTCAAATAAACCCTTTCCCGTCCAAGTTGTTTTTGGTCATGGTGTTCCCTCCTTACAACAGTATCCTTAACGAAGCCATTCACCCTGGGCCCAAAGGCTGCCAGACACCCAGGTCTGACTGTGTGTCCCTCACACTCACACCTGTATGAAGTGCCCTTCTAATCTTTCTAATCATCTGTACTGTGTCACACATGCCTCTGCCGACGCCATCCTTCCCATGAGTTAGCTGTACCTTACAGAATCAGCCAATTGTCACACAGAAGCTCAGAACTGAGCTTTCCTCTACTTTCCATCTTCTACTAGTTCCCAATTTCTCCCTAGGGAGAAGCCCAAGTCCTTCTCCTGTCCGGAACAACGGTCTTCTGAGTGCTCATCCCCCACCCCTGTGGTCACTGCCGTTGTCCATCCTGCTCCACAGACACTGGTCTCTCTAGTTCTCCTAGAAACTTCAGAACTCGCTGTGGGTCTCTATACCAAGAGCAACTGCTTAACAAATCCTCCTCAAACCGCACCATTTACACAAGCAACTCCACCCTTACCCTACTTTCGATTTGTCTCCACCACACTTAAAGCATCTTATAATAAAATAATACTCACAAGTTCCTTCTGTTCCCTTCCTCACTAGTATGTAAAGTTCACACATTCAGAGCTTTCTGTCTACAGGCTAAATCTTCTGGGATTAGGACAGCATCCGAGGCACAGCAGTGACAACGGAAATGCACAGGCCCAGTTGTGGGTCAGGGTTTGGTTTAAGTGCTCTTTGTACATCATCTCCTTTTATTTGCTCATCTACCCCATCCGAAGAAGATGCTTTATTCATTGAATTCATTGAACCTGGTACCTTACGCACTTGAGGTGAGCGCTCTAACACCGAGTCACCTTTGAATGCATTCGGTAGCGCAGGCTGGCTTTTGATCCTTCTGCCTCAGTTCCTAAGCAACCACTAAGTGACACCCTTACATGTCACATTGCAGCCTGTGTGGGGTTCTTGTTGTTGTTTTGGTTTGGTTTTTCCAGACAGGGTTTCTCTGTCGCTTTGGAGCCTGTCCTGGAACTCTGTAGACCAGGCTGTCCTCGAACTCACAAAGATCTGCCTGTGTCTGCCACCCAAGGGCTGGGGTTAAAGGCGTGCGCCAGGCGAGGTTTCAGCTCTTACAGCAGCCCCATCTTGCCAGCTTTATAATTGTCATCATTTTGCCTAAGGGGAAAGTGGGTGACAAACGACAAACAAACGCCCACTGCAGTCTAAAGGAATACCTAGTATACAGCAGCTATTAACCCTCCTAACACAAGGGAAAAAGAAGACCCTTTTACCAAGTAACCCTGTAAAAGCTGAGGGGAACTGGGTGGTGGCTCACGCCTCTCAACTTTTAGAAGCCTAGGCAGGAAACCCACCCTGAATCTGGAGTCAGCCTGGGATACACATAGTGAGCCTATGTCAGAAGAACAAAAAAGAAAAAATCCAGGGGCAGGAAGAGGCACCGAGGGACATCTGAATGTGGGGGAAGGGGCGTGCGTACACGATGTTGCACAAGCCCCCGAGAAGGCAAGTACCCGGACTCGGTTGATGCCACCATAGTGGGGAACCATGGCCAGGTCCAGCTGAGGTTTCCGCTCCTCTTCATCCTCTTCATCTTCCTCCTCCTCCTCCTCCTCATCACTGCCCTCTGAGGGTGCTGGCCTCGTCCCGTGGAGATTGTGCATCCGAAGCATCATTAGTCTGGGGAAGCAAAGGATGGATTAGGAACTGAGTGCCACGGAGAGCCAGGGGGCTGAAGAGGAGGTTCGCAGGGGAACCCAGACTTTTAGGTCTGGAAGAAGCTAAGAGTTACTTGGGTCCCTGAGGATGTCTTGAAAACGTACTGCGTCTCACCTGTTGCTCTGGGCGCTCTCAGCCTGCGTTCCCGCACACAGGAAAAGAGTGAGAGGGAGTTCTGTCCGGTTGTCGCCCAGGTGATCTCGGACTATGTCAAAACTGAGACACGGGGCGCCTAGAGAGGGAGGAAAGACAGTACGGTCGCAGCGTGGCAATGAGACGCTGGGAACTCGGCCTCCCCCTCCAACAATGGCCAGCAGTCCGCAAGGCAACATCACAACCCTCAGACTCCAGACCTCTCGCCCCCCAGGCTCCAGGCAGGCCCTTCATTGCCCTGGAGCCAAGAGTCGGGCCTCAGCCTACCAGTCTGCGCACGGTGGTACAGCACGTAGGCCTCCTCGTCCATCACCAGCTCCTCCCCTTCTGCCAGCGGCGGGCCCTTGCCGGGCAGGTAGACCTGCGACGGGCTCTCGGATCCTGGATCGCCGGATTCAGCCTCCATGGGTTCCCCAGTTTCACATGGGAGCCGCCGGCCCTTGCGCGCCGCCATCTTCGAACCTTCTCGACCCGGACGCGAAGTAAGAGCGTCACTTCCGGGCTTCGGTTCCCGCAGCCTGCGGCCAGTCCCGCTGCACTGTTACCTTGGAAACCCGAGGACCAGTAATAAGTGACACGAAGAGAGATGGCCGCCCCCAAGTAACTGTGCTCTGGCTCAGTGAGAAAAAACAAATTAGCTGCGACCGTGTCTTTCGCGTGACCTTAGGGAGTTCTTCCGCTCAGCAGTGGCAAGGCCTTCTGGGAGTTGTAGTTCCACAGGAGTCCTTGCATTCCGAGCGCCTCTCCATCTCCCACCTTTTATTCCCGCGGCTGTCTTTTCATTTATTTAGTTATTCATGTATGCAAACAAACACTTACTGGCAAAGAGACTGGGTTTCTGTTCCCCGAGGACCCATGCGGCCGGTTTCTTCTCCTTTCCTTGTTATGATGGCTTTAAATAGTTTCAAAAATGCTTTAGGCTGGACATTATGTTGTCTACGTTAGTAGATTGAATCTATCCTCTAGGGGCAGTCCTTTTCCCAACCAGGCGTTCCCATGGCAGCTCTGGTCAGCAGGCACTTAATCAGAAAGTCTCTCTCGAGGCCGCTGTTGCAACTGTCAATTCTCTTTATCTGCCCGTGTGCACCCGAGTTTTGGTTAATTGGGGTAATGAAATGTTGGAAATAGATTCTCACTGGGGAGATTAAGGGTATTCAAGACGTGGGTTGGCCATTCTCTTCATTTACATAAGATAACCACTCAAAGCATTCTTGCCGGTAGCCCTAGGAACAGGACACTAGACTTGGTCCTAAGTTTTACATCCCTCATCATTATCACTGCTCTTGGGGGTGTGTCTCTTCCCCGGGCCCTCCCCACCCTTCTCTCCTCGGGTCTCTTGCCACTTCCTGGGCCTTGACTGTGCTTTTCCCATCTCCTGTGATCTAGAAGTGGGGATTGAACTCAGGGTCTTATGAATGCTACAACACTCGGCCCGTTACACCAGCAGCCCAGTTTCTGTTGTCTGACTGTCTTCCCCACGGACTTTTCTCAGGTTCCATTTTCTCCAGAGAAGTTGAAGGGGCCTACGAGACAGACACAGAGCTCAGGCTCGGACTGAGGAGGCGTAAAAACATGGTTTTATTCCAAACACTGCAGTGTATTAGTGGGGGTCGGGGAGGAGGGCTCAAGTGTGGGCGCCCAGACCCGCCTCTCAACCCAGCCTCAGACCCTGCTGAGATCTGGAGAGGGGGCCGAGGGGGTGCGTGTGTGGAGTGTCTGCTGGATCACCACTGAAGGGTCACAAATAAGGGCTGGACTTGAAGATGTGGTTGGTGGTTTCCGGGTTGGTAGGTAAGTGGGGGGAGACAGTAAGACTCTCGTGGAGTACAGGTCATAGGTCAGAGCCAACAAGGATGTAAGAGGAGGGGGTCATCGAGGTCTGACATGAAGGGTCACAGTCTGGTCGGGGCACAGTCTGGGGTCAGATGATCATTTTAGGTGTTGGAAGTCACAGTCTGGGGTCAGGGGTTTCTGTGTGGCGGGGCCAAGGTCTGGGGTCACAGTTTGGCACTCTCGTCTCACAGTTTTGAGTCCTGATGAATGAAAGGTTAAAAACAGGCTCCCCGGGAGGTGTGTGTGGGGGGGGCCAGGGAGCTGCACAGTGATGTGAGGGCCATGGCCCCGAGAGCGGGGGCGGGGCGCGGCGCGACCCCCCTCCCCATCTCCCGCCAAACCAGGTGACGTTAAAAAGCCCTTTTCGGGTTTAAAAAAAAGTCGGTGGGCTCCAAGAACCCCGCCCCCGTGCTCCCGGGATGGGCGAGATTTGGGCGACCCGGTCCCCTCTGGCTCCTGGTTCCCCCCTCCCCCCAGTGCAAGGGGGCGCAGGACGCGGCTCCAGGCGGGGTCCGGCCACGTCCGTCTCCGTCCTTCCCAACCCAGGCGGGTCCTGTCCACTGCGGAGCGCCCCGTCGGGCCGTGGCCCGCGCTGCCCGAGGGGGCGGCGGGGGCCGCCCGGGAGCCGCGTCATACCTCGGACTCCAGGCTGGAGAAGTGCGCCGAGCCCCTGCGCGTGCCCAGGTCCCCGCCCCGGTGCCTCCGGGGCGGCGCGGGAGGCAGCTGCGGCCCCCAGTGCGCGGCGTGCGGGCAGCGGCGCGCGTGGCGGGAGGGCCCGGTGAGCCTGCGCGCGGGGGCCGCCCGCGGGCAGGAGCTCAGGTCCTCGAGCGAGCGCGAGGTGGGCGCGGGCGGCGGGACGTCCCAGGCGCCCGGCGCGCGCCGGTGGCGGTGGCGGTGCGGCGCGGCGGCGGGCGCGCGGTGCGGGGCCCGCGGGCGGCGGGGGTGCGGCCGGGGACACCCGCAGCGTGCCCGGCGCCGGGGCGGTGGCCCAGCGGCCCAGGGTGGCGGCGGGGGCGCCCACCAGCCGCCGTCCAGGCCGTCGTGCGAGCAGCTGAGGTGGCGCGGCGGCGGCAGCAGCTCCAGGCTGGCGCAGTGGCGGCAGTGCCACGCGGGGCCGCCGCGCGGGGGCAAGTAGTCCCAGCTGCCGGCGCGCCAGCCGCCGAGCTTGTCGACCGACCAGTAGCGGCCGGGCGGGGGCCCGAGGCGCTCGGCATACGGGTAGGGGAAGTCGGCGAACCACCAGGGCTCCAGGCCGCCGAGCGACGCCCCGCCCAGGCTTTCCGAGTCCTCCGAGTCTGAAGGCGACGGCTCCACGTCCAGGTAGGCGCACGGGGGCGGCGCGGCGCGGCGCGGCGGGGCAGCCGTCGGGGCCCCCGCGCCCGGGCCGCCCGCGCCCCCGCCCAGCAGCGGCTGGCTCTCGGGGTCGGAACGCGGCCAGCGCGTGGGGGCGGGCGGGCTCTCGTCCTCGAACGCCAGGCGGCACAGCGGCGGCCCGACGGCGGCGGCGGCGGCGGCGGCGGCGGCGGGCGGCGCGGGCGGGGACGGGAAGCCGGGGAAGGCTCCGGCCGGGGGCTCGGCCGCCTCCTGGTCGCGCACGATGGCGAAGTAAGAGGGCGGTGGCTTCTGCGGGGGCTGCGCGGCGGGTGGGGACAGCGGGCGTCCGGCCGCGCCCCTGGGGGCCGCGCGCGCCTCGCCCAGCGCCAGCCCCAGCCCCTGAGGCTCGATGGGACCGTAGTAGCGGTGGAAGCCGTCGGCCAGCGCGGCGCCGCCCGGGGGTACGGTGGCCTTGGCCCGGCGCCAGCGGTCGGCGGCCGCGCGCTCCCGGGGCGCGAAGGGGGCGGCGCCGGGGGGCGGGCGCGCCGGGGGGTACGCGGGGCTGGGCAGCGGCTGCGGCGGGGGCGGGGGCGGGGGCTTGGCGGGCGGCGGAGCGGCCTCGGCGCTGCAGCAGCTGTACATGCCCTGGGAGGGGTGGGAGGGGTGGGCGTGGGTCAGCCGGGTGCCCGACCCGCGCCGGGCCCTGCCCACCCTGCATTTCCTCTAACAGCTCCCCCCAGCCCAGATCAACCTCACCCCCCAGATCAACCTCACCCCCCCCCGACCAACCTCACCCCCCAGAACACCCTCACCCCCCAGAACACCCTCACACCCCCCCAGCCCGCCCTCACCCCCCCCAGCCCGCCCTCACCCCCCAGAACACCCTCACACCCCCCCAGCCCGCCCTCACCCCCAGACCAACCTCACCCCCCAGCCCACCCTCACCCCCAGACCACCCTCACCCCCCCAGAACACCCTCTCACCCCAGCCCACCCTCACCCCCCAGACCACCCTCTCCCCCCCAGAACACCCTCTCACCCCAGCCCACCCTCACCCCCCAGACCACCCTCTCCCCCCCCAGAACACCCTCTCACCCCAGCCCACCCTCACCCCCCAGACCACCCTCTCCCCCCAGAACACCCTCTCACCCCAGCCCACCCTCACCCCCCAGACCACCCTCTCCCCCCCCAGAACACCCTCTCACCCCAGCCCACCCTCACCCCCAGACCACCCTCTCCACCCCAGAACACCCTCTCACCCCAGATCAACCTCACCCCCCCCCCCGACCAACCTCACCCCCCAGCCCCACCCTCTCCCCCCGCCCACCCTCTCACCCCAGAACACCCTCTCCCCCCAGCCCACCCTCACCCCCAGACCACCCTCTCCCCCCCAGAACACCCTCTCACCCCAGACCAACCTCACCCCCCAGCCCACCCTCACCCCAGACCACCCTCACCCCCCCAGAACACCCTCTCACCCCAGCCCACCCTCACCCCCCAGACCACCCTCTCCCCCCCAGAACACCCTCTCACCCCAGCCCACCCTCACCCCCCAGACCACCCTCTCCCCCCCCCAGAACACCCTCTCACCCCAGCCCACCCTCACCCCCCAGATCAACCTCACCCCCCCAGAACACCCTCACCCCCCAGAACACCCTCTCACCCCAGATCAACCTCACCCCCCCCCGACCAACCTCACCCCCCAGAACACCCTCACACCCCCCAGCCCGCCCTCACCCCCAGACCACCCTCTCCCCCCCCCAGAACACCCTCTCACCCCAGACCAACCTCACCCCCCAGCCCACCCTCTCCCCCCAGCCCACCCTCACCCCCCCCAGCCCGCCCTCACCCCCCCCAGCCCGCCCTCACCCCCAGACCACCCTCTCCCCCCCCAGAACACCCTCTCACCCCAGACCAACCTCACCCCCAGCCCACCCTCTCCCCCCAGCCCACCCTCACCCCCCCAGCCCGCCCTCCCCCCCCCCAGACCACCCTCTCTCCCCCAGAACACCCTCTCACCCCAGATCAACCTCACCCCCCCCCCGACCACCCTCACCCCCCAGAACACCCTCTCACCCCAGACCAACCTCACCCCAGCCCACCCTCACCCCCCCGCCCACCCTCACCCCCCAGACCACCCTCTCCCCCCAGAACACCCTCTCCCCCCAGCCCACCCTCTCACCCCAGACCAACCTCACCCCCCCAGCCCACCCTCTCCCCCAGCCCACCCCTCTCCCCCCGACCACCCTCACCCCCCAGCCCACCCTCACCCCCAGCCCACCCTCTCCCCCCAGCCCACCCTCTCTCCCCCCAGCCCACCCTCTCACCCCCCAGCCCACCCTCTCACCCCCCCAGCCCACCCTCTCCCCCCCCCCCGCGGCTTGCTTCCAGGCCCTCTTTCCTACCCTGGAGAAGGCCAGCAGGAAATCCATGCGGTGGGTTGGCCCCAGGCAGTGCCGCAGGCGCCAGTACACCAGATGTTCCCAGGCAAAGACCAGCAAGGAGAGGCCCATGGCCACGAGGAGCATGTAGAAGACGCCTGCCATGTTGTCGATGTCCAGCTTGCTGCTCATCACCTCGATTTTGTCATTGTGGCAGATCC